CCAGGGGAGGCCAAGAAATGTCCTTGTCACCCGTAGGGGACGCTGAAGATTTTCTCCCGCCACCCCTGCGGACCCCAAACTACTGCTTCTGGGGAGCTGCTGCCCTGAAACCCTCTTGAACAGGCGCCTGGCGCGCCCCCCTGTGTCGCTGCGGTGTAATAACATCGTCGGGTTTTCCAAATGGTCCTTTAGCAACAGGAACCTTCCCCAAGTAATAGTGGAGGCTAACACTGGTGCTGCTGACACAAACAGCGTGTTAAGAGACTGAAACACACCAAAGGTTTGCCTTGGGGGAAGTTATACATAACTATGGGAAGAAGGAAAAGGATTCACACACACCCAAAGGAAGGGACAGGTCCCCCTCACAGGTCCCTGAGTTGTGAAAGCCTCCGCCTGTGTGGGTCAGCGCCCAGCCCCGCCAGCCTGGCACTGTGGGCTGGCTTGGGTATCTGAGCAGGTGGACCTCACCTGGCCACACAGGTGTGGTGTGAAGTTTGCCAGGAGGCCGACAGCTGCCACCACCCCTGCCTTGACCAGCCTCATGAACCCCTGTGGGCGGCTCGGCCTGTGGCTTCCAGCACCCCACACTTCTGAACCACGATGCAAGCAACAACTGCTCATCAGCTGGGCAACCGTAGCGCCTCTCAGAGCAGCTGGTGTGGCCTGTGGGGAAAGAAGGGCTTTGGAGTTAGATGCCCTTGGGGGCAAGCCCCAGCTCTGACATCCCAGCGTCCTTGCTGAAACCTGAATTTCCTTAACTGTAAAAGCTGGATAATAGTAGTTACTGGGAATTGCCAGCAAAACAGAGGTACCTAGACATGTCTGTTGTATGAATGAATTGATGAGATTCTCAGTGCAAGTTACGCTAAGGGAGCATTTGTGACTTGGCATGTCTCGGATTAAGTGCTCCAGCATGTCTCTTCCCAAAGATAGGATTCCTTCTCTTTCTGTAGCATTTGCAACTCTCGTTTGCAAGTGGAAGACAAAAATAATATCCACTGGCTTAAAAGAGCAAAAAGAAATGTATTGTAACAGAATCTAAGTGATGAAATTGTTCTCAGACCCTAGAGGACAAACATTTAAAAAGCTGGCCTAGCTTTCTCTTTGAGGTTTAGAACAAACGCAATTTGTTTGCAGATAACCCAGCCTGAGAAAACTGAAGTGACTCATCCTGAACCCAGCTTCAAGGACAGAGGGAGAAGGAAGACACAAATGCTCGGGAGAATAGCTGCCTGGAGCTGGGGGGCCACCAGTGAAAGCTCAAAACTCCAGTATTAAAAACAAAACCAAACAAACCACCTCTTCGTACTTCTCCATGTGTGAACTGGCCTATACTAGCCCATGAACTTCAGCCAAGAGCCGGTCTTAGCCCACTCTTGAGCGGATTAAATGTACCTCCTTTGTTCTCGATCCTAGTCCCCCAAACCTATGTAACCTCATTCTCCTCCCTCAACGAGGGAGGTAGCTCTGAGTGACCTACTCCCTTGTCAACTGACTTGCAGTAAAGCTGCTGCTTTTCTCCAAACCTGGTACTGGCCTCTGTGCTGCCAGGCAGGGGGCCTGCTGTTCAGTGACACGCACCTCTGGCCCGATCGTGGGCAGGTCTGGCTCTGGACATGAGCCGTTCAAAGTGAGTCATCAGGAATCTATTTCTCTCTCTCCCCCTCATTCAGCCTTCTTCTGTCTTGGTCTCAGCCTCAACCAGGGTGTCCTTGCTGGGCTCCTGGAGGCAGACACAAGCTTTAGATTACTCCCACAGCAATCTGTTAAAAAATAGGCTCTCGGGCCCTCCCTGGTGGCGCAGCGGGTTAAAGCACAGCAATGAGAAGCTAAAGCCACTTCAGCACCAGTTCGATCCCTGCCCCGGAGGTGACCCACATGGCGGCAGACCTCTCCTGACCCGCCTGCTGCTCCCCTCAGCAGGGTACTTCATCAGTTGGACTGTTCTGCTCCCCACTCTGTCTCTGGTGAGGCCTCTCACCGCCCCTGCACCTCTGACCTGTACCCCAGTTCTGATGCATAAATAAATAAATCTTTTCAAAAAAAAATGACTCTCTTAGAAGTCTTCAAAATCATCCCCAGGGTGAAGAATTATTGGTTCTGGTTGGTTCAGCTTGTATTATTGGTTCTGATTGGCACACCCCCATTCTGGAACGAATCACTATAGCCAGGCTGGTGGGGGGTGGGAACACTTATTGATCAGGCAGGAAAAGGGATGGGTCCCCCAAAGAGTATAGCTTCCAGAACTTGGGGGATGAATAGAGGCTGACAGTATCCAGACAACAGATGTCCATTCCTACTAGGCCACAAAAATGTCTACCAGACTTGGCCTTGTACAAGTGAGTGTAACAGAAACTGAAAAAATAATTAAAGGACAACGTAGCTGTTTTCCATATTAGAGCCAGTGCAGGCTGGAGGCCACATCTGCCAAGGTCACGAGGAGGAGCAGAGAAAGTGGAACCCCAAAAGCCAATTATCGTTGACTGAAGAGTGAGCAGAAAGGCTACAGGGTTGACCCAGTGATCACACAGCGGGGCGGGAGGGGGGGTTTACAGAACCCCCAAGTGCGTGTGAACAGGCAGGGCTGGGAAAGAGAGCAATGAGTGTGCCCTCTGATGCCAGGCGTCAGCAGAGTGCAGCCTCGAGTGCAAACACAGCCTGGAAAGGCCACTGTTTAATGGGGAGATCGTGGCTCCTCCCATTGTACAGACTGAGGCTTCCATCAGGTTATAGAAAGCGGGGCCCCGGAAGGCAGGATGGCTCAGGAGCTCGCTTGGGTGTCGTCTGTGATTGTCTTAAAGACTTAGCTCAGGAAAAGCTCTCCCGGTGGTGGGCACGAGGGTGTGAGAAGACCTTGAGGAAGAGGGCACTGAGGGCTTGATTGGGAGTGATCGTTGCCTAACTCCTGCCAACAGTTACCTGAGCAGGTTTCGACAGTCAAGGGCATCATGAAAACGTATTCTGCACCAAGTGCTGTGAAGGTCAGGAGGAGGCAGTGAACTCTGTCCCAAGACAGGTTCTCCCAGCCCGTCGGTTACATTTGATGGCGAGATGGCCTCTGACAGAGCTGGAGCACGTCTCAGTAACCACCGACCCAGCCTAGCAAACCCAGGGATTTGGGATGGCATGGGACCCCAAATCTGGAAGGACTTAGCAACTACGCTGTGCCAAGTCTAGGGAGAAATATGCACACAGAGAAACCAGAACAGCGCAGAATGATGGGAGAAGAAAGGAAGAAAATGAAAACACTCTGTTTCCTCTGGCAGATCAGTCTTTGCCAGGAAAGCTGGAATGTTGACTTGGTATACACATAATTCAATTTTCTACACACTCAGAAGTAAAGAAAAAGCTAGACATTGGGAGAAATCGCTGATACGATTCTTAACATCTATATGTGAAATTAGCTTCAAGCCATACGGTTGGTAATCTAAAAAAGGTAAATGCCACATTTTATGTACAGTGTGATCTCAAGGATGTTAAAAAAAGAAAGAAAGAAAAAAGAAAAGAAAGGCCCTGTCCAGTTAGGTACCTTCATTTCTAATTATAACTTGATTTATCATCATCGACAAAAAATTAATTAGACATAAAATGTTGCTAGCCACTGGTAGGGCATGCACAGTTTTAAGTTTTGATCCTTCGACTTCTCAGTGTTTTGCTATTTTTCCAAAGAGAAAAATGTATTTTAAATGATTTTTTAAAACCTAACCCTTCCATTATAGCAACAAGATGCGTTGCTGAACTCACACGATTTAATTTCTAAATGGGGGGCAACGCTACTCTCCCGTCTCAGTAACTCTCCAGAATCACGCTGACTTGAAATAACTGCTGCTAGACTTTCTCGTTTCTACTTTTTGGGTTGTTGGAATGAGGAGCTGCGTGGCATCTGTAGCCAATGAGGGTTCAAGCCTCATTTATGGGGCGCGGCTGCTCCTTTGCGCCATCTACTGGCTGGACTTCAGACTGCAGGCCCAGCGTGAACGGATCTTTGTCAAGACGGCACATACAGTTAACATGCAGGATCACACATTTCAAAAGTAGGTGTGTGAGTAAATTTTACTGAGATAAAGAGTGTATTTGTTGCACATAATTTATAAATTTTCAAATAATAACATTTTATTGTACATACTCTATTGTAAATTCCACAGAGCCCATTAATTCTCACAGAATGTTTTTGTTGATTTTTTGCCAAAGTCTGGTATGCGGGACAAAGACATGGTTTGACAAAACTAGATTACACAGCAATGATAACAATACAACTCAGCACAAAGTTGCTCTCATGTCGCAGCAGAATTATACAGTTCTGACATAAATGCTTGTTGAAAACGTTGCTTATGAAGCCAGTAAGTCTAAAGCAAAATACTGAAGATGTAGCTGGAGCTGAGCTGCTCCCTCAACCGCACGAGCAACTTGTTTGCTGAATTGCGTAACACAGTTTGAATACAGGAGGGAGAGTCCCTCAGATTGCTTTGTGCCTTTCACAAGGTATCGGTTACAGACTCGACCCTAAGATTAATTTGCATCATGTACTAACATTTTATCCTCATGTTCTTAATACTGGAAAATCAGCAAAAAAATAAGTCAAGTTCTGGTGTGTGGTGTTTCCCAGTCTCTGTGAAGTAAATACTCTCCCGACGCACGTTTCGAGTGACCAGCGTGACGTCATGGAACGCAAGCCCAAGGTGACGTCACCGGATGCGGAAGCGGGAGGGAATGCTGTTTGGTTCCTCCAAAGCTATCATCGATGTCCGTAACCTCAACAGTAAGCTAATAGTAAAATGCTTTTTGTGCTTATTACCTCTGCGGTTAGTATAATTTATTTCATCTTAAGTTTAAATAATTTAATTTTTAATGGCTGTGTTTTAACGAGCAGCTTGCAAAAATCCTGAAAATTTAGGTCAGCTCTCACACACCAATACAGTGGGTCCTCGGATGACGTCTTTTTGTTCAGCGTTGTTTTGCTGTATTTGTGGATAAGGAAAAAAGCATCCCAAGGACATTGAAGAAAATGGCAATTCAAAAACCTGCTTTTATTAGAAGTCATTTCCGGTACAGTCAAGAACCTACCTGTGTCAGTGAGGACTTGCACAAGCTGACTCCCTCCCACCAAGGGATGTAAGGGAAGCACCCAGAAGAGAGACAAGCTGGGGGGTGGAGAGATGAGGGGCTTGGCAAACCCCAGGAGCAGGCGCGGGGGCAAACCACCTTTTCTCAACCCACGGGGACTTATTGTAATGCTTCGTGCTCCCCGAATCCAGGGCCCCTCCTGGCTGGTCCCTTCTAGCAACCTCTGTCCTCAGCAACCTGCTTGGTCTCCATCTGACTCCCCTTTGGGAGATGATCCTTCAGAGTCCAAGAGGGAGAGCTAGGGTGGAGTACCGCAGAACCCCCCCGGCCCTGACCAGCTGAATGGCACCAGTTGGGGAGACTCTGGGAGGGAGTTGATCAAATACACCCCCACATGCGTAAGCATCACCCTCCTGCAGATGTGGAAACTGGGGCTTGACCTCGTTACTCACCGAAGGTCAACAGCTGCAGAAAAGTGGAGGCCACACCCACATGCGGGGTGCTCCCACAACCCGAGTGCTCCCACAACTGGGGTGCTGGGCCTCCGAACACGCTTCCTATCTGCAGAGGCAGCCGCAGTGTGAGCTCCCTGCTGGCACCATGACGCTCTTGGCTCCGTGCACACCACCCTGGAATTCTGTTTGCTGCTCCCCTAATTAAGTCTTCAATCCCCCAAAATGATGAACAGCCTGAGAGCAGGGCCCATCTGTTGTATTGCCAGCATTTAGAATCCAGCTCACTGGTGGCAGAAGAGGTCTTCACAACCGCCTGGTCTAGGTCCTCCTTTATCTTCTGGGGAAACTGAGGCCAGGAGGCAAACAGTAGAGAGCAACAGCAGAACCAGGACTAGAACTTGAGTGTCCCAGCAGCAGTCTGAGAGGCTGGTGAATGCTGAATATTTACCCAGGGGTGAACAAGACTGAGGTGGAAGAGCCCAACAGCGGACGTCCCCCTTGCCAGAGTCCCAGCGGGTGAAGAAGTGAGCAGAGTCTGGGATTCCCAGCTGGACATGCAGGCAATGTGGCGAGACCTCCTGCCAGCAGTGGCGCCCTCGAGCTTCTAGAGAAGTGTGTGGAGCAGCCAGGACTCCATGAGACACTAAGTGAAGCAAGATGCAGCCACTGGGGAAACTGAGGCAAGAAGGCAGACCCTCTGGGACCGTCAGTCTGAGACTGAAAATGAAGATGTAGGCTGCCATAGTCTTCTCCCCTTTCCCCAGCATCATGGGTTCCCCTGGGGGAGGGGTGAGTCTCGAAGGACCACCTGGAGCCTGTGTCCCCAGGCCCCGGGAAGCAGGTTGGGGGTGGGCTGCTAAGGCCACGCACGGTTGCAGCATCCTCCGGGCACCGGGCTGTCTCAGGGGCCTGCAGAAGCCTCGATGCGGCTGTACCGGGCTGAGCTCTGCCTGTGGCCAAAGCTCAGGGTGAACCTGTCAAATCGAGAGGGAGTGGGATCAGCGTGTGGCAGGGCCCAGGGGAGATGGGAGTGGACCAGCCCCGACCCCCACCTCACCCCACGCCACCGTCACTCCTACCTGGCCCTTCCTGTCTTGTCTTGCCTGGGCTACCCAGCGGTCTCCCCTGGTCTCTCTTGCCCCTACAGCCAGTTGTCCCCACGTCACCCAGGGGAGCCCTTTCTCAAAACAAAGCCCCACTGCGGTCACTGTCCGGCTAGGAAGGGTGACAGCCAGCCCCACCGAGGTTTCTCCCAGGCCATCTTTACAATATTTTGTTTCTTCAAGCTTCCATGACCCTTCAGATTTGTAGTTTGGGGGTTCTACTTGTCTAACCTCCTGTGATTCCATATTTGTATGAGTTGGGTTTAAAGTAGAGGAAACTCTGCTTTGGAAGACACAAACCAGCTCGAGGAAAACAGCTCATGCATGAAGACAGGGCAAAACCCAGTGCCCCGGGAGGGAGTAAGAAAAGAGAGTGTTTAAAAACTGAAATCCTAAAGCTAAGACTTGGGGTTTGATGATACTCTCCCCCAGCCCCGGCCAGCCCTGGTCCCTTACCGTCTCTTCTGGAATTGCTGGTCTATCTCTGCCAACGACTGGCCTTTTGTTTCAGGGACAAACAAATAGATGAAGGCCAGGCCGAGGACAGCAGTCAGCCCGTAGAGCAGGAAGGTCCAGGACAGGCCGATGGTGCCTGAAAGAGGGGAGCAGGCCTGTGGGCAGAGGCAGAGCCGGGCCCAACTGGCTGGTTCCAGGCCGGGCACTGGGTGTCAGTTCAGTCAAAGCACATTGTCCAGGTGGTCGATTTGCAGAATGACCAGCAGGCTGCCGGTAAGTCCCTTGGAGCTGGAGGAGGACGGGATGTGCCGGGACGGGAAAGGGCCACCCCCAAATCCACACGCACAAAAGTGTGTCTGGCACTACGGGGAAGCCCGTCCACCCGTATCTGAAATGCCAGCCAGCAGCATGGGTGTGGGGGTGCAGCCTTGGCAAAGCCCAGCTTAAACGTATCTCAAAACTCCATGATGTGGCTATTTGGGGAATCGAGCATACAGGAAATGAGTTTCAGCTTGGCCTGCTCTGCTCTGGGAGACAGGACACAAGCCTCAGCACCCGGGCAGGACCTGAAACCGGCGTCCCCTCTGCCCAGAGCTTCAGGTGGGACGAGAGTCTAAGACAGGAAACATTGTGAACGCTTTCGTGCTTTAGAGTGGGGGCTCAGAGGCGAGGGGCGGGAATGGCCTTGGGAGGGGGGGCCAGAGCCCCACTGTGACGCCTCCAGACGCCCTCCCCTCCTTCACCCAGAGTCTCCCACCACCATCAGGGAACGGAGGGGTGTGGCCTCACTGTACATATCTTTTGTTGTCTCTGCCTCATGGCCTCCCTTCTCCTTTTCTCTGCTACAGCACCCCAATTTTTCCTCGGGGAGCCCCCTCACTCTCAGTCCATGGCTGGGGCTGTGCACACCTCCTGGCTGCAGGGTGGGTACGTACCCCAGGCTTGGGCATCAGAATATTCCAGGCCTCTGGACGCAGCCGTTGGCTCAGGGATGGACATACCGTCTCACTGAGCCAGCAGGAGTCGGTCCCAGCCCGCATGAGTCACAGGGGACGAGACGCTCTCCTTCCACGGGCTGCCGAGCAGGAGAGCTCGGCTGGCAGCCATCCCGGCCCCATGAGGTGGGTCTGCCTGCCAGTGCCACCAGACGAGGGCGTGGAAGCGGCCGACAATTTTGGTGCCGTCTCTGGCTCAGCCCTGACTGAAGCAACCATCCCCATCTTAGTGATCGGACACAAAAACATTCCCTTTTGTTCAGAAAGTGGCTCGTACTGGATTTCCTGCCCCTTATCACTCAGCAAATCCAGGAGCGCTGGCTCAGACTGGACACAGCTGGATCTGGGAGGAACTGCATCAAGCGTGAGGTCAGAGGACTCACCAATGAGGTCGAGGAAGGAGAGGCTGATGAAGAGGTTGGCGGCCCAGTTGAAGCTGTTACAGAAGGCGAAGGCCCTCCCTCGGATCTCCATGGGGTAGATCTCGCTGAGGACCAGCCAGGTCACTAGGACGGGAATGCAAACAGGGATCCCAGGCAGCCGTGGGTACCCAGGGCCTGGCACCTGCCCCCCGTCCAGCGGGCTGCCCCCAACCATGTGATTCCAGCAGAATGTCAGCTTCTTGACCCCAAATGCTCCCAAGCTGCTTGGCCAAAATGCTGTAAGAATGCCTATAAAGTGATCAGTCTCCTCTGGATCACTCTAGTCATTAAATTCCTTTCAAGTAAACCCCTCTGAGTGGGGCAAATTCAGGTTGCGTGAAGCACAAACGTGTACACGGTTTGAAGGCCCTTATTTAAAAAAAACCAATCACATAGAACTAGGCCCCTCCCTCAGGAGGCGTGTCTTCCAGGAGGAGCCCTAAAGATGAAGCTTCACTGGCATCATGTCAAACCACCCTTAGTGTTCCCCAGACTCTGACTGATGTGGCCCCCAAGCTTCCCAATAGGAGAGGTAGAGAGTTCCAGAGTCACTGCAAGAAAACGCCACTCACCTGGCCCGAAGCCGAAGGAGAAGGCGCTCACGAAGGCCATCATGCAGATGAGGGCGGCCCAGTGCAACAGGGCGTGCCCTGGGGCAGGAGAGGGCAGTGTGAGGGTGCCGGGGCTCAGGGTTGGCAGGGGATGGGCTGTGGGGTCCCCAGCTCTGGTGTGGGACTTGGTTTGCCCAGAGGTGGACAAGACCGACTCCCCGTGGTTCTCACTGGTTGTCGGCAACAGAGGCAGAGACGCGTCCCTTGGCTGACCAGGGTCTCCTGGTAGGCCTGACAGCCTGGTGGCATTAGGCATGGCCAGGCAACTTGGGCCTGAGTCCATGGGCATGGCAAAGCTGACGAGGCCGATGCCACTGACCGACAGGGCCATGAGGGCACAGCCAGCTAACAACAGGACCCTGCGGCCGGCTCGGTCCACCAGCCCCATGGCAGCCAGGGTAGCCACTACCTTCACCGCCCCGAGCCCCACAGAAGCCAGCACAGCTGAGGACGCCCCGAGGAAGCCAACGGAGCGGAAGATGGTGGAGGCGTAGCATAGCACGTTGGGCTGCCCTGTCAGCTGCTGGAAAAGCACCAGCCCCAGCCCCACCGCAGTCCGTCCACGCATGTTATCCCGGGCCCTGAAGAGGTCCAGAAAGGAGTACCTCGGTCTCCCCAGGCCCCGCTTGATGGCCTCCCCGCCCTGCAGGGGGATGAGGTCCTTCTGGGCTGCAGCCTCAGCTGTACCAGCAGGCAGAAACAGGAGGCTGAGGGACTGCAGGATAGCAGGTGCGGCTGCCCAGCCGAACATATGCCTCCACCCCCAGGGGTCGCCGGCCAGGGCGTAGTTGAGTGCGTAGGACAGCAGGATGCCCACAGTGATGCCTGTCTCATAAAGAGACACCAGCACTCCCCGCTGCCGGGGTCCCACCAGTTCCGACACGTAGATGCAGCAGGCCATAGAGGAGAGGGAGATGGCGAAGCCCACCGCTGAGCGGCCCAGGACCAGCCAGGCCAGGGAGCCAGCCAGGCCCAGGCTCAGGCTGCCCACCAGCAGCACTGCGTTGCTCCCGAGGATGGCTTGCTTCCTGCCGTAGCGGTCGATGAGGAAGCCCCCGACCAGAGAGGCGAGGAGAGCCCCCAGAAGCAGGCTGCCCACTAAGAACTCCTGCTCCTGGCAGCTTAGTCCGAAGTCAAGTTGGAGAGGCAGCAGGGCACCTGATATGACCGCCAGTTCATAACCAAAGGTCAGGCCACCCAGCAGAGACACCGAGGCACAGAGGGGCAGAAGTGGTGGTGGGTGGCCTGGAAAACAAAGTGACATGGGTAGAGTTAAGAATGGTTCCTAGTGGGGCCATCCATCTGTCCAACTGCCATCTCTCGACCCACCCACCCATCTCACCCATCCACCCATCCATCCACCTATTCACCCATCCACCCATATGCATCCATCTGTCCTGGATTTCCTGCCCCTTATCACTCAGCAAATCCAGGAGCGCTGGCTCAGACTGGACACAGCTGGATCTGGGAGGAACTGCATCAAGCGTGAGGT